GACCTCGGATGCGGGTCCCGCGCGGCCCCTCCAGCACACGTGCTCTCCCACCCCGTCCCGCCGGCCACCTGCGTCGTCCCGCCACAGACCACCCCTCCCAGCACACAGGCTCACCCTCGCGGTCCCTCAGATCGACGTGCTGCACGCTCTGTCCCGCGCGCGGCGGCGGCGGCGGGGGCCACACAGTCTCACGACTGACCCGCGCTCGCTCGTCACAGTCGCGGCCCCTCCCCCTCCGCCCAGCGCCACACACGGGGGCTCCCCGTCTCTCCTCGTGTGGCCCAGCATCACCGATGCCTCCTCACGCGCCGCAGCCAGACACGCTGTCTCAGATGGGCACACACAGCTCGGCCGCGTCACACGCCACGTCTCAAGACGTCACACACCTTGACACGCAGTTGGAACTTCTGTCTGTCTCGTTCACCCCCGGTGGCAACTTCGCCCGCGCTTTCACCGTCACCCAGTATGTTAGGGACACACGCGCACAAGGTCTCTCTCGTGTTGTCATCTCCGAGTGTCCCGCACAGTGGCGCGCGGCCTCACGCGCTGTCCCAACACCGTGACAGTCTCTCGCTGTCCCACCTGCCGTGTGTCGCACATCGTCAGTGTCTCACAGTTGACCAGCGTGGCTGACACACACGGTCACACTCACGTGGTCCCTCTGTCACACCCATTGCCCGGGGCCCGTCACGCTGCCTTCTCACGCCACCTCTGGGTGTGTCACACTCATTCACCCTGTCACCCTGTGGCCCCCACAGCCCTCGTGTCCTCCCCATGTTGCACTCTGTGCCCTACAACCTCTCGCTGTCACATCCGGCCTCCTGATGTCACAGTCCCCCAAATGGTGTCGCAGGCACATCCAGCCTCACGGCGTCCCACACAGCCACCTGCGCGTCACGACCTCTCATGTCACACACTCAGTCGCACACAGCCTCTCTTGCCTAACACATGGTTTCACAGACACACTATTTCTGGTTGTCACAAAATGTCACCAGGTCACACAGCCACACACACAACGTCACAAGCTCGCGATAGTACACGCTCACACAGTCTCTTGGCGTCCCACGCCGTTTCCCGGGGTCATCAGGGGCACCCACAGGGTCTCTGTCTTGCACTGGTCACATCCCTGGGGGCGCCCATACCCAACCCTCGGGCCTCTCGTGACAGCCCCCCGATGGCCACACGGGGGCGCCCGCGGCCCGCCGACACCAAAGCCGTAGGCGGAGGTGGAAATTGGGAGGGCAGGGCGTCCCCGCGGGGCCGGCGGGGGACGCAGACCTGGGAGGGACGCCGGGACACAGCAGGGTGGCGGGGCAGGAGGCCGGAGGGAGAGAACTGAAGACGCACTGGGACAGGAGAAATTCAAAGAGAAGGGGAGAGAGATGCAGGGAGAGGCCGAGAGAGACGGGGACGCAGAGACAAATTTGGAGAGATAGAGACCTAGGGACTAGGTGAGACAGAGACAGGCCGAGGATCGCAAAGACAGAGAGACAGAGACATGCAGGGCAGAGGAGAGACACACAGACAGAAATGGAGAGGCCGAGACAGGGACCGAGAAACACGGACACCCGAGAGACACGCACAGAAGCGCACGGAGACACCAACTCGCAGACCAAGCCTCCCGCCGGGGACGGTGGCGGAGGTGGGGCTTGCGGGGCGCGCCCCGGGGGCGTGGCCTAGGGGCGATCCGGGGGGGCGTGGCCAGGGGCGGGGTTCCCCCCAAGGGGCGCGTCCGGGGTGGGGGGCGGGCCAGGAGGGGCGTGGGCTGGCTGAGGCGCGCCCCAAGGGGCGGGCGTTGGGGGAGCAGGGGGAGGCCCTGGAGGGAGCTTCTCCTCGCCGTCAGCCCTTCCCTACGCGGTTTTGGCCGACTGGATGGGGACGCGAGCCGAGCGGGGAGGGGACACCGCCCGGGTGCCGGTGATCTGAGGGTATCCGACCCTGACTCCCCGCTTCCCCCCGCCACCCCGCAGAAGCCACAGGGCCAGGTGGGGGAAGGGAACCGGGCTCACATCTGGAAAGCATCAGGCGCGCCGGACGTGCCAGGGCCCCGGGCCCGGCTGCGGAAGGGGGGAGGGGAGCCAGGGCGCCCTCGTCCTCCCCCCTCTGCGGGGTCTGCCGGCGCCGGGGAGGGGCCTGGGCGTGCGCCGAGCCTCTGCGCCTCCCGCAGCTGGTTTCCATCAGCGACTTTGGCCCCGGCCGCCCCCAAGGAGGAAACCCAGCTGAGAGTGGGGGAAGCCAGGGTGACGACCCAATCTCCTATCCTGCTTTCTGACGGCGGCCAGACGCCGGGGGGTGGGGAGACGGACGGACGGACGCTGCTCGAACCGTACTTAAATGCCCTCCCTTTCTCGCCGGAGCTGCAGCCCCCAGCCGTCTTTCCACCCGACGTGTACCTTCAGTTTTCAGACGTGCAAGCCCGCCCTGTGCTGCCCAGGAGTCGCCCCGGCCTCGTCAGAGCCTAGCAGTCAGTGGTGCTATTGTGCCCATTTTCCGGAGGGGGAAACTGAGACCCTGGATTCGGCTTCCGCTTTGACTTTAATTATTCAAGCAATGGGCCGTGAACGCCAGGAGTGGTTCTAGCGTCCCATACCCAATGGCCCACTGTATATTCCCGGCTGGGTGTCCGCGGGTGTCTCGCACTCGACGCGTCCAACACTGAGCCCCATCCGCCAAACCCCCTCCTACTGCAGGCTCAGCCAGCTGATAGTAAATCTTTGGGGTCATTCTTCCCCTGCCCTGCCTCCCTCACGCCCCACGACTGATCTGGTAACGACTGCCATGAACTCCGGCTTGCAGTCTCTTCTCGCCTCCTCTGCGGCTGGCACTCTGGTCCAGCCACAGTTCCTCGCTGGCTTCCCTCATCCGGGGCCCCACAGAGCAGCCAGAGGGACCCTGTTTGAAAGGGAGCCCCCAGATAATAGCCCGTGTTGGCGAGGAGGTGGGAAGGTAAACGGCACAGCCAGGGTAGGAAACAGCCTGGCAGTTTTTTAACAGGCTAAAGAGTCACCGTAGGACCCAGCAATTCCAGTCCCTAGGTATCTACGTAAAAGAAATGAACACATACCTCCAGACAAACACTTGTACCTGAATGTTTCCCGGCGGCTTTGGTCATAATAGCCCCAGAGTGGAAACAACCCAAATGTCCATCCGCCGAGGCGCGGGAAAGCTCAATGTGGTGTGTCCGTCCAGACAACGGACGATCATTCGGCGGTAAAAAAGAAATGAAGCCGTGGTACGTGCTCCCATGTGGATGAACTTTGCAAACATCATGCGGAGTGAAAGAGGTCGGCCACAAAAGGTCACTTATAGCATGATTCCCTTTGTATGGAATGTCCAGAATGGGCCAAAATACAGAGACAGAGAGAGTAGGTTAGTGGTTGTCAGGGGCTGGAGATACTGGATGCAAATATCCTTATTGGGATGGAAATACTCTTCAACTGATTGTGGGGAGAGTCGTACAACTCTGTGAACGCACTGAAAGCCACTGAACTCGATTTGGGTGAATGTTATGGTCTGTGAATTGTATCTCAACGTTTTAAAAAATGTTTATTTATTTTGAGAGAGAAAGAGAGAGAAGAATCCCAAGCAGGCTCCATGCCATCAGCCCAGAGCCCCACGCGGCGCTCGAACGCAAGAACTGAGAGATCATGACCTGAGCTGAAACCAAGAGTTGGGCCACCCAGGTGCCCCTTGACTTTTTTATTTGTTGAGTAGGATTCAGGCCCAGCGTGGAGCCCAGCTGGGGGCTTGAACTCACAACCCTGAGATCAAGACCTGAGTTGAGATCAAGAGTCAGAAGCTTAACCGACTGAGATACCCAGGCGCCCAGATATGTGACTTATATCTCAATAGAGCTGTTAACCCTTTCACCTCCCCCCCCCAAAAAAAACCTCTAAGTCCCTCTTGTGCTCAGAATTCTCCCATGGCTCCCACCTCCCTCCAAGTAAAAACCCAAATCCTCACCATGGCCCATGAGGCCCCACACAGTGTGGTAGACACTACGATTCTCTGCCCCCCACTCCGGCTGCTCCCACCCTTTTGTTCCTCACCCATGCTATTCGCATGCCTCACTTCCCCCACCTCCTTCAGATCTCTGTCCAAATGTCCCCTTCTCAGTGAGACCGTCCAGATGACTCTACTTAAAATCACAAACATCTCTGCTCCCTCACCCCACCCAATTTCCTCATAGCTCTGCTCAGTTCTCCCCCATAATCCTTGTCACCTTTAGCAAATTACAGAATGTATTTATTTGTTATGTCAACGCCCCTGCCCCGCCCCCCAGCTCCCACGCCTGTAAGCGGTTCCTTTCGTAGCCTTCTAGAGAGAATCCATATAGGCTATGTCGGACAGCGCTTAAGAGCCTAGACTCTCAGGCAACCTGAACTTCCATTCTGGTTTTGCTACTTATCAGCCTCACGTAGGTTACTTAACATCTCTGTGCTTCGGTTTCTCCATCTGTGAAGTGGGCATACTAGTATCCATAAATCATCTCTCTAATATACCCTCGAGGCTGTGAGGATTGAGTCACTGAGAATAGAGTCTGGCATGCAATAAATGCTCAATTTCATAGTCAGCTGTTATTTTTTGTTTGGGGTGGGGTTTTTTTGTTTTTTTGTTAATTTTTTGTTTAACATTTATTTATTTTTCAGAGAGAGAGAGAGAGAGAGCACAAGCAGGGGAGGGGTAGAGAGAAAGACAGAATCCTAAGGAGGCTCCACACCATCAGTGCAGAAGCCGATGCTGGGCTTGAACTCACGAACCCTGAGATCATGACCTGAACCAAGATCAAGAGTGAGATGCTTAACCGACTGCGCCCCCCAGGCATCCCTTGGCCAACTTTTATTTTACTTAATTATTTATTAAATTTTTTTTTCTTTAACGTTTATTCATTTTTTGATAGAGACAGAGTGCGAGTGGGGGAGGGGCAGAGAGAGGGGGAGACACAGAATCCAAAGGAGGTTCCAGGCTCTGAACTGACAGCACAGAGCCTGACGCGGGGCTCGAACCCACGGACCATGAGATCATGACCTGAGCCAAAGTCAGCCGCTTCACCGACTGCGCCACCCAGGCGCCCCTTGGCAAACTTTTAAAAATGACTTTTATTCATTGGTATGCAAAAAGAAATACTTGTTTATACATACACACACACTGCCCACCCACCTTCTAGAATGGAAACTCCACAAGGAAGGAAGCTTTTTTTCTGTTTTGTTCCTTGCTCTTTCCCCAGTGCCTCCGTGGGCAGTGGAGATGCAGGTGAGCACAGCTGGCCTGGTCTCCTGCTCTCTCAGAGTTCAAAGCTACCAAGAGGTGGACCCACCCATCTAGACACAAAGTCAAAGCAGAACAAATACCATTCTCCACCTGACTGTGGGGTCAGGTGGGGGATGGGTTCTAGCCCTAACTCCCTCCTCCTTGCTGTGTGATCAGGGTAAGTAATGGCCCCTCCTCAAACTTCTAGTTATCCATCCATGAAATGGGTATGATTATTGAACTTATCCAATAGAAATATGGGCAAAGAGTATGAACAGGCAATTCACTGAATTACAAGTGGGCCAATGAATATACCAAAGTATGTGTTGCCTCAAGGGAACGGGAGAGAGACATGCTAATTAAAACAGAACATGGGAGGGGCGTCTGGGTGGCTCAGTCCATTGAACGTCCGACTTTGGCTCAGGTCATGATCTCACAGCTCATGAGTTCAAGCCCCACGTCGGGCTCTGTGCTGACAGCTCAGAGCCTGGAGCCTGCTTCAGATTCTGTGTCTCCCTCTCTCTCCTTTCCTCCCCCACCAGCACTCTGTCTCTCTCTCTCAAAAAAAATAAATAAATAAATAAATAAATAAATAAAAACTTAAAAAAATAAAATCACAAAAGGTTAAAAAAAAAGAAATGAAAATATCAGCTGAGGCGCTTTTAGTGGGAGGAAGTGTGGCAATGTCAATGAAAAGTTTTTAATTTTTTTTTTTAATTCTTGAGAGAGAGACAGAGCATGAGCGAGAGAGGGACACAGAATCCGAAGCAGGCTGCAGGCTCTGAGCGGTCAGCACAGAGCCCGACTGACGAGGGGCTCGAACTCACAAACCATGAGATGGTGACCTGAGCCGAAGTCGGATGCTCAACCAGCTGAGCCACACAGGCGTCCCTCAATTAAAAGTTTTTAAATGAGTGTACATTAATGACCAAACAATTCTATTTCTAGGAGTGAAGCCTACAGAAATACATACATATATGCACATAGAGGTATGTACAAGGACATTCCTGCAGCAAGGTCCCTAACAGCAAAATAATTGGGAGAGCTGACAATCCCACAGTGGACTCTTATGCAGCTAATAATAATAATACAGTGAGGGGGGCACCCGGCTGCCTCAGTCGGTAGAGCATGCAACTCTTGATCTTGGAGTTGTAAGTTCAAGCCTCACGTGGGGTGTAGAGATTAATTAAAAATAAAATCTTAGAGGGGCGCCTGGGTGGCGCAGTCGGTTAAGCGTCCGACTTCAGCCAGGTCACGATCTCGTGGTCCGTGAGTTCGAGCCCCACGTCAGGCTCTGGGCTGATGGCTCGGAGCCTGGAGTCTGTTTCCGATTCTGTGTCTCCCTCTCTCTCTGCCCCTCCCCCATTCATGCTGTGTCTCTCTCGGTCCCCCCCCCCAAAAAAAAAAAAGTTGAAAAAATAAAATCTTAGAGCGCCTGGGTGGTGCAGTGGGTTAAGCATCCGACTTCTGCTCAGGTCATGATCTCAGGGTTTGTGAGTTCCGGCCCCATTTTGGGTGAGCTCAAGCCCTGCTTCAGGTGAGCTTGAGCCCCACTTCGGGCTCCACACTCTCTCTCTTTCCCTCTCTCTCTGCCCCTTGCTCACTCACACACTCTCTCAAAAAAAAAAAAATTAAAAATAATAAAATAAATAAAATCTTTAAAAAACAATCATTATACAACGATAGGAAAATGTCATCTAAATTGAGATGAAATGGACAATTTCCTAGAAGAATACGACTTAGTAAAACTGACACAGGAAGAAATAGAAAAGTTAAATAGTACCATAACCATCAAAGAAACCGATTTGTTTTTTGTGTTTTGTTTTTGTTTTTTTTTTTTTTTTTGAGAGAGAGAAAGAGAGAGAGGGAGAGGGAGAGAATCCCAAGCAGGCTCCAGGCTCAGCATGAAGCCCAACGCAGGACTCTATCCCAGGACCCTAGGATCATGACCTGAGCCAAAATTAAGAATTGGATGCTCAACCGACTGAGCCCCCCGGGCGGCCCCCCCCCCCCCCCAATCTAATTCTTAATTAAAATCCTTCCCATAAAGAAATCTCTGGACACAGATGACTTAACACCACCAAATGAAAATAATAATAATAATAATAGAATAAAAGTGATAAATAATGCAAATATATGGTTCAATTTATATATGTATATACGTACATATACATGGTATATATGTATAATATAGTTATATATTTATATAGTTACTTAAATTCACATATGTATGCAAACACATAAAGGGAAACATTCAAGGATACACATCAAACTGACTATGATGACTTTTGAGAAAAGAAATTTGGGTTGGCCCTTCACTTATATTTTTATGAGACCATGTTTGTGACCAAACGCAACTCAATCAAAGGTCAGATTCATTGTGGTAAAACAGCCCCATGGTAGGAAAATCAGGTTGAGACCCACCCTGAGATCTGCCACCTGGCTCTAGACCCCTATGTTCAAAGCAAATAGTAGTTGCTCACTAAACGTGAGTCCAAAGGAAAGCCATTTTACCACAGAAGGAGAGTCCACCACGTATGGAACAGTGTGCATTTATTTACAAAGAGGTTAGAGAAACACAGAATCTGGCCCCCCTGTGCACTGGGGAGTCACCATCGTCATAATAAATACAGTAATTTTAAAAAAGAAAAAAAAATACTGGATTGGAACAGCTGAGGGTCATCCTGGGCTCTCCCCACTCCCTTTGGGAGGGGGGAGAAAAGGGGGGGCATGAGATAGAAACCATCTTCCTTCTCCTCTTCTACCTCCTAATCCTCCATAACTGTCCCGGGATAGAGGCGAAAGAGTCCTTCTTTCCAGGCGCTACCACCTCCTAACTGACCCTCAAAACCCCAAAGTCAGTGCTCCTTCCTTTCCCAGGGCACTCTGCAGGCACCACCTGGGTCAGACACAGCGTCTCTGACCACGGTGCCAAGGGGATAGCTTAAGAATCCAGGGACATGGATGGGGGCACTTTGTGACTGGGGGGGGGGCGCCCAAGACACCAGATCTGGGCATGGAAAGGAGGAATAAGAGGGTTCAGTGACAGTGGTGAACGGGAACAAACGGACTAAGTGTCTAAACTAAAATGGGGAAATTCGAACTGAATTACCCCTTCCGCATACCATATTACACCCATAATACAGATGAGGAAAGTGAGGCCCAGACAAAGGGAACTTTCTTGCCCAAGGGCTGCAGAGCCAGCAGCTGAACTGGGTCAAACAGGGCTCCTCCCCCATTCCTCCCTATGGTGGAGGGGGAGCCTTTTCAACCAAGACTGCAGTGGATGGGGGCAGTGAGGAAGGGTCTTTGGAAGCAGAGAAAATGGTGGTCTTTGGAAGGGAGGTATGGAAGGGTCAGTGATTGGGAGTGTGGTGGTGCAGAGGCCATGAAGGGGGAGCCCGAGCAAACCCCCAAACTCACACTGTAGTCATGACCTTGAGAGAACCCGAACGGAAACGCAGTATCTTTTTCTTGAGTGCGTGGGAAGCCTTGATCTTCACAAACACTTTGGCGGGGCCCGCGGGGGCCCCTCCACCTGCACCACCCCCTGCCCCAGAGGCTGCGGTGGCTGCCACCAGCTGCTGCGGCCACACCAGGCCACCGCTGCCGTCTGAGTCGCTGGATGCGGAGCTGAAGGCAGGCGACTCCCCCTCGCTGGCGCTCGATTCACTCTCCCCATAGCCGCCGCCGACGCCGCCGGTGGGACCCCGGCGTCCAAGGGGCCCCAGGCGCCCCGCAGAGCACTCAGAGTCGCTGCCCGCGCAGCCATAGAGAAGACGGCGCTGCGGAGCTGACGGGGATGGGCCGGGCCCCGGGCCGCGGGCTGTCGGGGCTCGGGGACGGCCGCGGCGTCCGTCCGCAGCGTCGATCTCGGCCGTGGAGCGCCAGCGGCGGCAGGACCCCGCGGCCTGCGCCGCGAGTGTGGGCGCAGGGCCGCGACGGGGCCTCGGCGGCCGGGGCTCTTCCCGTTCGGCCGTGGGGTACTTGGGGGGCCCCGGAGGCACCGCGGCCGCGCGGCCCAACAGGCTGGTCTCAGACTGGGAGCGCGCGGCCTTGCGAGCCCTGGGCGAGCCCCGGCGGCCCGAGGCCT